AAAAAAAAAAAAAAGACTCAAAATTAGAAGGAAAACAAGACATGGCAACCGATACTACAGAAATAGAGAATTTTAAGAAACCACTATGAATAATTATATACTAACAAATTACATTACCTGGAACAAATGGATACATTTTAGCAACAATATACCCAGACTGAATCAGGAAGGAATAGAAAATCTGAACAGATCAATAACAAATCAAGGGATTGAGTCAATTAAAAAATAACACAGAAATCAGAAATCTCTAGGTCCAGATGGCTTTGCTGGTGAATTCTACCAAACATCTAAGGAAGAATTAGCATCAGCCCTCCTTAAAGTCTTCCAGAATATTGAGAAGAGGGAATACCTCCAAACTCATTCTATGAAGCCAGCACTACTTTGGTAGCAAAACCAGATAAGGATACCACAAGGAAAGAAAACTATAGACCAATATCCCTGATGAATATAGATGCAAAAATTCACAACAAAATACTAGCAAATTGAATTCAAGAATATGTTGAAAGGATTATACACCACGACCAAATGGGATTTATCCTTGGGATACAAGGATGGTTTGACATATGCAAATCAATAAATGTAACTCAATCATATCAATAAAATGAAAGATAAAAGCCACATGATCATCTCAATAGATACTGAAAAAGCATTTAACAAAATACAGCATCCTTTCATGATATAAATCCTTGATAGATTAGATGTGGAAAAAACATAGCTCAACATAATAAAGGCCAGATACAATAAACCCACAGCTAACATTATACTCAATGGAGAAAATTTGAAAGGATTTCCTCTGAGATCAGGAACAAGACCAGGTTGCCTACTCTGCTCACTCCTACCCAATATAGTACTGGAAGTCCTAGCTACAGCAGTTAGGTAAGACAAAAAAACAAAAAGCATGCAAATTGGAAAGGAAGAAGTAAAATTTTCACTATTTGATGATGATGTGTTCAGGGGCTTCTGCGGTTTCAGTTTCGAGGCCGTCTGAATTTCTGCTCAGGTCATGATCTCGCAGTCTGTGAGTTCAAGCCCCGCTGTCGGGGTTGAGCCTGCTTTGGATTCTATGTCTCCTCTCCTCTCAGCCCTCCCATGCCTAGTTCTCTCTCTCTCTCTCCTCTCTAAATGTACAACAAACACCATGCTTGGAAGTCCAGTCGGCTGCTGAGCCGCCTCAGGTCAAGATCTCAGCTCGTGACTGGAAAGCCCCTGTAGGGCTCTGTGCTGACAGCTCAGAGCCTGGAGCTTGTTTCAGATCCTGTGTCCCACTCTCACTCTGCCCCTCCCTTACTCATGCTCTGTCTCTCTCAAGAATAAACAAAAAACATTTAAAAAAATTTATAAATGCACTTGCCTTCTTAAAAGAAAAGAAAAAGTCCTATAGGAGGGGAAGTGGAGGTGGAGAAGGGAATTCCAATGTAAAGGGTTGGGGCGAGTCTGACGGCCCGTCTACTATATGAGCATGTGCTACTGACGAAGGGTAGGAGAGCCCCAGCAGAGAGCCCACCCTCCAGGCCCAGCTCCCTCCTGCAGTGCAGACTGCTGACCCATCTCATCCAAGTCTCTAGGTGAGCCTCCCAACCCCATCTGGTCTTTGGTTCTCCTTTACCATGGAGTCTCTGGATAAAATTCCTTCTGTTGAACTACGTACAGCATTATTTGCCTGACTGAACCTTGATTGATACAGTGTATTGATTGGGATGTTAAATTTATAAGTTAACTTGGGGAAAATCAACATCTCTGCAATGCTTTCTTTCTGTCCAAGATCATCATGTGTTGATGTGTCTTTCCATTGGGTCAAATCTTCATGTGTCCCTCCATAGTCTTCAAAGCCTTCAAAGTCTTATTTAGTACTTAGCTCTTTTTTTTTCTTAGTTTCTTGGGTTTCTTTCTAAGTATTTTACCCTTCCTGTGGTTAGTATAAATGGTGCTTCACATCGAATTCAATAGGTTAATATGTAAAGTCCTTAGGGCAGTCCCTGGCATACAGTAAGTGCCATAGTAGTGCTTCTTCTCATTATCATCTTAGTTTCTTTCATTGTTTTCCCCAACAGCTTATTGTTGGAATATGGGTCACAGTTGTTCGGTCTGTTTCTGCCCAGCTCCCGTTCAGGAGCAGCTGGGGGCAGAACTAGATCTTGGGGCATCAATTAACAGGAAAGTAAGGTGTGCCAGCAACAGACCCATTCCATAACCAGGTCTCAGCTCTCTTATAGGTGCCCTTTTCCCATGTATCTGTCCCCAGACTACTTGGGGACTATTTGGTCCTGATACCCAATCATTAGATGTAACTATTATTATGTCATATAAACACACACACACACACACACACACACACACACACACACACACACCACATCTTAGAAAAAAACAAGGCTTACTATTGCTAGGAATCACAGTGGCAAGTCTTGTGGGCAAGTCTTACAGTCCAATACAAAACTAATGTTTGCTGCTTACTCCTCAGAAACAGGCTGACAGTTGTGCTCTGTGCATCAGTGGGCCAGGCCACATAAACACTACCCCCAAACTCAGTAGTTTAAAACAACCACCATTTAAGTCCTGCTCATGGGTCTGCAGGTCAGCTGGGTTGTTCTGCTGATCTGGGCCAGCCTCGGCTCATGCCAGCTGGACTCACTCATGCATCTGTGGTCAGCTAGAAGGTGAACTACAGACCGGCTGGTCTGGAGTAGCCTCCCTCCTATGTCTGCCACTTGTGGGCTGTCAGCTGGGATGGTAATCTGGGCTAAATCTGTCATCAACCAGCAGACCAACTCAGGTTTGTTCCATGATGCAACAGAATTGAGGGATTCTTGAGACCTATGCTTGGAACTGACACAGCCTGACTTTCCACCACTTTCTGTTGGACAAAGCAAAGACAGGAAGCCAGCCAGATTCAAGGGGTGGGAAGTACACCTCTCCTTTTGGTGGGCAAGACTGCAAAGTCATATTGCAGAGGAGGCATGAATACAGAGAAGCCTGAAAAATTAGAGTCACAATCGTCTCCCAAAACCCTACAACACAGTGACAATGCTTCTAGCACCGATTAACTTTTAGCAAAGGTTGCTTTGTCTCACCAGCAGCCCATCTGTGGACTGGATCAGAGGAAAGTTCCACGTTTGGTGGGCTTCACCCGTTTACCCTGATCCACAGCTGTCTCAATTTCATTGGGTGCCATTTCTTGACATTGAGCCCAAATCTGAGTCTGTCTGAGCGTGTGATCCCCTGCACCAGCTGTAGGGATGATACACTTGCCCGTCTGTCCTGGTTTCTGAGAGCAGTTACTGACTTCGGTGGAGTTTTCCAGTATAGATTTTCCAAGACACTGTGACCGTTCTCAGCTGGTGGCTGAATAAATCTTTGTTGACGTATCGACTCAGTCAATCACAGGGTAATTAACTCCAAGTCCTGTTAGAAGCAATCAAAATGTCTTTTCTCATTGCCAGGAGGCAGAGAGACCTTGGAGGTAATCTGTTTGTCTCTCTGCCTTCTGGCATCTCTGCCCTTAAGCCCCTGAGTCAGGACCATAGACCCCTGATGGCCAAGCAGGGACAGACTTTCTCTGTCATAACATCCATATCTTCTGGTCCTGGGGGGTTACTGAGCTGCCCTGGGCCAAGCCATGAAGGAAGGGGGTGGGGGGTAGGGGCGGAGGCTGTACACCTGCCCTTACCTCCCACACTGCATGGCTGATCTGCCCTGCCCACCTAGCCTGCAGGGAGACAGAATACCCCCAGCCCTACTGCCCCCAGAGTCAGAACATAGGAAGCCAGAGGGGATGGGCACTCCTGGCTTGTGGAGGGAGAGAGAATACTCCTAGAAGACAAAGAACAGGAAAAGAAAAGGACAGGCAAATAAGAATGTGGTTGAACAGAAGAGCAACATGAACTGTAGGGATTTATAGCTAAGCTTGCTGTTTATAACTAATTAGCACATAGTAATAACAATTGTGCATATTATTATGTGTTTAAAGTTATTTTTGTTCATATAAAACTTTCTTCCTATATTTGGTGTTCCCTTACACAGGTAAAATGTCATATAATATTGTGTTTAAAAGAATTCTAGTATGATCCAACCAGGTAAATACACACACACACACACACACACACAAGCTTGCACACATGCACGCGCACACACACACATATTTGATATGCAAGATTTATATATGTTGGAGTAAAATGTGTATTTTAAACTTAAAATATCTACGTATATATGTAAATGTATATATAAAATATATAACTAGAAAATCAGATATATAAATATCTTTTACATCTTATAGAGCTAAAGATAAATATAAATGTACATTTACATTTTTGCTGAAAAAAAAAGTCTGAAAGGAGGAACAAGAATTGGGTGATAATGATGACCTGTAGGAGGGTTTTTCTTTCCTTTTTCTTTTCATATACTTTGATTTCTTACCATGAGGACGTACTACCTTTCTAGCTTTTTAAAAGCAATTTTCTTGTAAATTTTAAGGCGATTCTTCCAGCTTTTCTTACCGTGTTACCCCCAAGCTCAAACACTAAAGTCAGGTAACTTTTTGTATTGGATCCTTCGGACACAAGAAGGAGCATTCTCACAGCGCCCTGTGGGCAGGAGAATGGTTTTCCAGGCACACAGAGCCGCTCACAGATGCCGAGGAAACCTGGCTCGTCCAGGCTGGCCAGCTCCTCCCCGGGCCGGGGCCCCGCCCCCTCCTCCCCGGGCCGGGGCCCCGCCCCCTCCTCCCCGGCAGCCCGCACCACCTCCTCCCCCGCGGGGCCCGTGGGATCTGGTGGCCTCCCTCCCTGTGCCCCCCCCCAGGGTCGAGGCGGCAAAGGCAGCATCTACGTGTGGGCCTCCCGGGGCCAGCGGCCTTCGACGACTGTGTGATAGCTCGCCTCCAGCATAATAGTTCTCCATCTTTCGGCCATCAGCGGCCTTCCAGGAAGCAGCCCTGTATGACCCAGGCGCCCTCCACCTTGGCCTCCACCTTCAGCAACGGGAGGAAGAGGAATCCTGAGGCCGGCGTGGTGAAGTCAGCCAGCCCTGTTGGCTGGTGAAGTGCACAGCCGCTATGGGACGTCAGGTACAGAAACCGTCACCACTGTGACTTCATGGGAAGAGATCTCCCCTCCTGCCACACGCACCTCAAAAGAGTGGCGCACCTATTGAGGCTCTAGAGATCCGTTGTCTTTCAGGGCAGATAATGCTTTGAGTAGAGCCATATACGATTGTGCAAAACCAGGAGAATAAGAACTGCTTCCTTTCCCAGCATATTTTCCATAGGTTGTCTTGTTTATTGTTTTGCCTTACTAGGCATGACAAATGTCCTGATGATCAAAGTTGCGCCTTTTGCACTTATAAAGGAGAACTAGTAAGAACTGAGGCATGTGGCCAGCGGGGCACCTGGGGCTCAGTCTGGAGCCTTGACTCTTGCGGCTCAGGTCATAGTCCAGGGTTGTGGGAGGGCTCCAGGGGCGGACTCTATGAGGCATTGGAACATAGCCTGCCTTGCAGGATTCTCTGTCTGCCTCTGCCTTCTTCCCCCACTCATGGCCCTCTCGTGCTCTCCCCTCTCTTAAAAAAAAAAAAGAAAAGAAAAAGAACTGAGGCATCCATGCATCTGAGCCAAAAGGCCATCCGTTTGTACAGTAATTAAAAATAGTAGGTCCTCGTAAATTAGGGCTACACACCACGTGTTTTCTCAAGGCAAGGCAATGGTTTTCATTCTATTTTTAAAAATATGTCCATAATTGAGGGGAAAAAGATTAAGCATCCAAGTAGATTACTTATTGCCACTGCACTTCTGAGCAGTCCTTCCTTCCTGGGCAGCTAGAGCAACACTTGGTGAATTTTCAAATCCCTTTAAAATCTAATGCAATTGAAACAACAAACCTTTTTGGATCTTCACCCCTCTGGGTATTTCCTCCTGCCCCTCCTTTCCTCAGACCCCCAAGCCCGGAATTTGGTTCGTGATTCAGTAGTTCTGCTGAGCTCCATTTTGACTGGCCACCCACCTCACCTCTCCTGGGGCCAAGAGACCCCTATGGGAGGACACACAGACCTGCTACCTCCTTCCTTGAGCCCTCCTGAGCTCCCCCTTGGTCTTGGGGACCAGCAGCAAGTATGCCCATCCTCCCAAGCAGAAGAGAAGGCTTCAGCCTCTCCTATCCCTAGGAGGAAGTATATGGGCCCAGAAAGGGAGAAGAAACAGGCAGAAAGAGAAGAGAGGAGTAGAGGCCCCAATCCTGCTTGTGATCAGCCACTCCTCCTCCCATGAAAGGTGTCCCTCCCTACCCCAATGGTGTCACTTTGTCCTCAACCTTGTCTATGACTCTCTTTCTTCTTGGGCCCGGGAAGGGCCTTGAGTTCACTCTGAATATTGTAACTTTCTCCCAATAGATGCCTTTAAACTCCCCTGACACTTTGTACCTCAAGCTAATAGACCTTTCTGAGGATCCTACAGACAAACAGAGGAAGGAGAAGTCCTGTGGTGTATACATGATCTTAATGAACCCCCTGGCTTTCACCCTGGCTCATTGAAAATGAGCAGTTTTTTTCTTCTTCGTGTAAGTCCTTTAAAACCTGATGGATCAGTCTCCCCACTTAAGAATTCTGGAAGTGATTTCTCACACATCCGTTATCGTGGCTCCATGTGTCCCAGCATCTCCTCATGCGATCTAGAGAAACATCTTCTTTTTACTGGCCTGTCCTTCTAGGCAAACTTTAGCCCAGCGTGTTTATTCCTCCCTCTTTGGAAATGCCACCCTTTCCTTTCTGAAGGGGGACAAATGACACTGTGAGCTTGGGTATTCCCAACTGATCCCAGGGCAACGATACTCATGGTTGCACTGACTTGGAGGTAGTATTGACTTGTCAACTTTTCACCTATAGATTTTCCTGTCAGGACCCAGGAAACAGATGTCTCTCTAGTCTCTGGAATAACTGCAAATATGCCTCTCTGAACAACTGACTTCTTTTTATCTTGTGAGCACTCGGACTGGCACGGGTTGTCCCTTTTTGCATGGGCTACTAGGAAGCTTGAATAAAAGGTATGGCAACATAGATAGATAGATGGATGCTAGCTTATCCTTACCGTCAGCTTAATCTTCGGAACAAGGTAGAACTTAAATAAAAGAAATAGACAACCCTCTGCCTCATATTGTTTTGGGGTTCAAACTAGCGTGACTTATTCACTCATGATTGAATATCTTCCCTTCCAGGCAACCACAGATTTGTATGGCAACTGCACTCTGAGGCATTCTGGGACATCCGCGGCTGCCCCCGAGGCAGCTGGAGTGTTTGCACTGGCTTTAGAGGCTAAGTATGTTTCCGTCTCGGGGCCAAGGGTGGACTAACATTTGTCTTTCTACCCAATACCAAGTGTCTATGGAGGCAAAAGTGGGTGTGAGAGTGTTGAAGAGTCAGGGTCAATGGACTGTGATGGACATTTCTGAATGAACCACGGGCCCTAAGTGATACACACATACACACACATTCCACAAATAACATACTTAGGAAAGCACAATACCCCGACACTCCATAGTGCATATCAGCTGCTTACTTAGATACCAAGTAGGGGCAGGTAGATATTTCTTTGTGAAAACCATCTGGATCCTTTGACTGTCTTACTTCCATAATACCATCAGCTAAATGAAAGAAAACTATTGCCAAACTAGTATCTAGCAAAGCATTTCAGAACGTGTGGTAATCAGGATGCCCGCAATGAAGATTCATTAGCTTATAAGGTGAATTCACTTTTAACACTGAGACGAGGTGGGCAGAATCACACAATGTAGACCAGGAAATGGGCTTTACTAAGAAACCTTCCGAGCTACAGGTAGGAGGAGATTATCTTCTCTTTTCTCACCATCCCACGGAGAGGCTGCATATTGCTGTTGCTGGACACACTTGGATTTGATCCCCAACAGAGTTTCCTACCCACCCACTACTCTGAGAGCTGAACATGTGGTCTCAGGCATCACCCGTGTGGTGTGATTGCAGATGCCCACGCTGTGGGGAGTTGTTCAAGAATGCAGCACCAGCAACTTGTGAGAGGTTGGATTCAGGTCCCTGGGGAAGGGGCGTTGAGTTCTCATCCTTGTCAGTCGTTGCTAGGCAACCGGAGCTTCTAGCGTCAATCCCCAGGCAGCCCTCCTCCTCTCTCTCCATATATACAGCGTGCTTTCTGACTTGCAAAGAAGGTAAGCGTTGATTCCTGGATAGGAAAGGACTTTGAAAGATTATCTAGTCCAACACTCTGTCTTTAAGCAGAAAAGGCGTAATTGCCCTCCTTTTACAGATAAGGCCCCCAACTGGGAGTGACTCCTTTCATTGGATCAGGCCAAACTCTGATTCTTCTAGCAAAAATCAAGTGGAAATTTTAGGATTCCAGGAGACACTGATTGAAGTGTTCCTATGAAGCGCAGAAACCAAAACTTGCTTCGTATGTGCATTTCCTGAAGATGAAACTGTTTATCTCAAGGCCTGTCAGGCCCCGGTGTCTGAGCTGGCTTTGCTCACTCCAGGCGGGAGCAGACAAACAGTGGGAGCCTGCTGGCTGCCACTGAGCCTTGAAGAGAACAGGGAGCGGGGGTTCTCCAAAACAGAGAAGGGGTTTCTGGTCACCCTTTCCATCTAAGAGGACAGAACTTGACTCAAAGTCGCCTTTGCATTTTGGCAAGCAAAAAGTCAGTTGACCAGGCCTCTGTGCACACAAAAGGACAACCTAAATACATCAACATAATGGAACAAGGCTGCTGGATCTCTAAACGGGTTCATGGGCTGTGCACCAATCATTCGCCATTCTTTAACACCCTTGCAGATAGCCTTACAGAAAAGGCATCACCACCTGGGCACACTTTGTTTTGGAGCAATGGTTTTAAATCTCTGTTGCCATAAAGAGGAAAAAAGTGATCCTTGCCAGTGGTGGTTCAAGCCCATCCTAGGAGCTAGTCCTAATATTCCCGAGAACACCAACTGCCTGAGGTTGGGTCCACACCCTGAGACAGAAGTTGGTGGCAAGCAATTTATTCAGAAAGGGCTCTCGGGAGAAACCAAGATAAAGTAGAGGAAGCAGGTTGAGGATGAGGAAGAATCCAAGTAAGGATGCAATTTCAGAAGTTTCGGCCTCAGCCTGATCCCATGGGGAGCTCTGGCGTGTAAATTATGCCTCAGAGTATGTTCTCCCTCAGGGCAAGGATGCTGGCCTGCCATGTCCTGGTGGTGGCCAGTCACTGGCTTAGAGCCATGCCTGGGAGGGAATCTCCAAGGCTCCTCTGGCTTTCTGCACCTGTCGGCAAAGCAGCTCCAGTAGCCAGCAGTTAAAACCACTGGTCAGAACAAAATAGCCCCAGCAGATCATCCAGGGGGAGGAGCTGGGAAAGCCCCTCCATGAACAGTTCCTGCAACTCATCTCTCTTTATTGTGAGATGAGACAACTGGGGGACCTTGGTGACCCCCAGTTGTGTCGACAGCAGTCGAGGGCTGTTTGCCACCCAGAGGTCCGATAAGAAAGCTTTTCCAAAGCAGTTTGCATGCAATAAACAAATTATCCTACGTAAATGTATGCCCATCAGGACCCATGAAAGGGGAACAACTACCCCCCAGGACTCCAGGGGGAAAAAAGGAAGCCATTATTCCTCTGTCCTGCCCAGTCATTACTTGAATTATGTACTTTTCTGCCAATATGCTTGAAAATGGCTTCTTGAGTCACAGGGAATATTGTTCACATTTCCCAGTGTGACCAACAGTAGAAAAAACTCCAAATGATTTCTTTGGGCAGGGGGTGACTGCCAGCTACAAATATTTTGCATTCTCTCCATGACCCAGGGCTTTCTGTGTGGCTCGAGAAGGCTGAGCTGGGTTTGAGGGGTAGGTCATAGAGAGGTAATTTTTTGGCTTGAGGGAACCATCTGTGGTAACATGGCCCACATATTGACTAAAGTTTCCAAAACTGACCTTCCAGAAGATGGATTTTTTTTTCATGTAAACTCTTAATCAAAGCGTAAGAGACACAGAGAAAAGTGCACAAATATTAGATACAGCTCAGTGACTTCTTACAAAGCTAACAGACCCCTGTTAACCAGCATCCAGATCAAGAAACAGACGATTACCTAAGTACCAGTATATGGTCTTTTGCTTCACAGTATGTCTGAGAGATTCCTCCATACTGTCGTGTGTGGCTATGGGTCATTCATCCTCATTGTTAATTACCCCACTGCATAAACGAATACTTGGGTTGTTTCCAGGTGGGGGCTATTATGAGTCATATTGCTGTGAATATTCTTACATATTCATTCTTTCCGTGAACGTATGAATGCATTTCTGTTGGGTGCATACCAGGCACTCAAAATGCTGAGTCACGGGATATACATATGTGCTGTGCTAGTAGATACCCCCAGTTTTTCAAAGTTTTTCCAAATAGCCATTGATGCTTGCTCAGGCAGTATGAGTTAACGGTGGCCCCACATCCTTGCCAACACTTGGTATTGCCAGCCTTCCACACTTTAGCCATTCTTATGACTGTTCAGTAGAATTGTACTCTACTTCTAATTTGCATTTCCCTGATAACTGGTAACGTTGAGCACTGGATGGAATTTTGAAAACAATAGATTCCCACATCTCAACCAAGAGTCACCAAATACAAGTCTCTGGGGTTATGGATGACCCAGGGATTTGTCTTTTCAAGCGCTGTTCCAGGGACTCTGTAAGTAGCCAGCCTGTGGAAGCTCCGTGGCCTGGGCATGCAGTAAAGCAAGAGCTCCATGAACCTATGAATCAGGATATACTGTTGTTTGCCAGGTGACCATCTGGACTCTGCCTCTGACTGGGTCAAGATTGGAAACAGAAAATCCCAATGACAGTAGTTAAACTGAGACAGGGTTTTATTTTTCTGCCATGTGAAAGATGAAACAGAGGTAAGGAGCCCAGGGCTACTTTGAGGGTGCCCCTGGGATGTGGGGAATCCAGCTCTTCCTAGATTTCTACTCTCCCACTTTCATGTTCTCCAGATGCTGCTGGAGCTCCAGCCATCACGCTGATATTTCAGATAGAAAAAACTGGAAGAGCAAAGGGACAAAAGATACCCACCATTGGAGTCAGCCTCGTCTAAAGTTTTTTCTGAAAAGCCTCACCCAGTGGCTTTTGCTTATTTCTCATTGACCAGAGCTGTCACATGACCACCCCAGACTGCAGAGGAGGCTGGGAACTATAGCTTTGTAGCTGGTAACGTTGCTGTTCTGAATAAAATTGAGGTTTTCTTAAAAAGGAACAGGGAGGGTAGATATGAGGGAGACAATAGCTATGTCCTCCAGTCTCCCGGTATCTACATGGGCAATCATTTACCACCTCTGGATCTCTGTTGTCTTACCTTAAAAATATAGAAAGCACACTGAGGCAAGAATCTACACCTGTCACTAGTCCCCACGTGATTCTGATGCAGGAGACTTGAGGACCAGAGTCTGAAGCCCCCTAGATGGGATAACACGTCGGCTCCACTGTTGGTTTTCTTGGTATTGAGAGCTCCCCCATCATGGCAGCCCTCCCTTTTTAAACACTGAGTTATCGGTCTTTCCCGCTGGGCTGTAGCCTCTGAGAGAACAGGGAGCTTCCTACAACATGCCCACAACTATTGCAGGGCCTAGAGCTGGTATACACTCAGTGAACCTCCATAGAATCACTTCATTGTGCAGGACCTTTCCATATACCTGTGCCTTATTTTCCCAACCATTATATAAAATATTTTTCATGTTATTTGTCCTATTACACTGTTCACAGTGACCTTTATATTGTAGATCATCTGTAAATTTACTATTTTTTTATTATTTGATAAGCATAGCCTACAATTCTTGAGCTACCATGGTAGGAATAAAGCTTAAAGCAGATGGAAGAAATACTGTTTTGCACAATAGTGTATTCTGTCAATTCTGAAAGTGTTCAGAAGGGGGAATCATGAGGGACTTAGTTTTACCTCTCAGGTATGCATAAATGGCTGGCCAAACAGTGTCACAAACTCCGTTACATAAGAGTATGGTCTATCTGGTTTATTCTAGAAGTGAGAAGATCTTTGTTCTGATGCATTCTCTCTATTTCTCATGGACTCCATGAGAATAAATCTGTGGAGAAATATCTAACGAGCTCTCCAAGCTCCAGGAAGCATTGCATGTTTTTGTGGCAGAACCCCCAGCAAAGATGGGTGATAATCCACGTGCCAGCCTGCCGTCAGATCATCTCGAGACCACCAGCTCCTCATTTATCAACACTTCGGTTTTTAATTAATTCAGAATCTCATTCCACCAAAACACTGAGCTTTTAGCCATAATCAACTTCTGGAAGCTTCACCCCATTCACCTGGGTCCTGGGAACCATATCAAGATATGTTCATAAATTTCCCAAATAAGCAGTGACCTTCCTTGAAACTTTCTCCTTAATAGCTGAAGGTCTCCATTGCAAGAGTACATGAATCATTGGCATATTTTGGCTCTGACTCAAGGCTTTGAACCAATGAACGCTGCATGTATTGAAATCAAATGAGTTATGTTGTTCCTGGTCTTTTGAATTATTTGACTTCTAAAGAGAACCACAGTGCAGGGTTTTTCCAACTTTTTGATTATGACTCACAGGAATAAATTTTGCATAGCAACCCAACACCACACACACATACACAGTTCCAAGAAAAATAGTTTCCCATAGTACATGCTAATGCACGCTCTTATTCTTTTCTGTTCTGTTCTGTTCATTTTTTAATGATAGTCCCATTCATTAAAGCACGGGTTTTCAAGCCTAGCTGTCTACTAGAATTGGCCTGGGAAGTGTTAACAATTTCCAAAGCCTGAGTCTAACTCCCAGAGATTCTGATTTAATTGGTCTGAGATGTGGCCTAAGCAATGGGATTTGAAATGTCTCACCAGAAGATTTTAATGTGCAGCCCACATAGATAATCTGTGCAGTTAAGTTGCTTTCTTGGCCCACAGATGGGTCTGACTTGCCCTTTGAAAAACACAGGCAGTGAGTTAGACGCTGGTTTCCAAAGACAGTAGCGTCTGCAAGCAGATGTGCTTATTCACCGGACAAAGAGCGTACAAAGGACTGCTGTCCTGGGCCCGGGGAACACGAATATGCTGAAGATACCATCTCTGCCCTTGAAGAAATGACAGCCTCATTTGCACAAATGGAACATATCCATGGAGCCAACGCCCAGATCAAGAAGCAGAGCACTGCCTTCACCCAGAAGCTCCCTTGTGTCACCTTCCAGCCCCCCCTCCAAGACTAACCACTAACCTGACTTCTAACAGCACAGATTACTTGGGTCTGTTTTGATACTTTAAACAAAAGAAATAGTATACAGTATGTTCTCTTCTGTGTCTGGCTTCATTAGGGTGACATTCCATTTGACAGATTCATCTGTATTATTCAGCGTAGCTATAGTTCATTCGTTCTCATTGTAGGACAGTATTTCACATCCAATAAATACACCTCAGTTGGCTTATTCATTTTATTGTGGCTGGGTATTTGGGGCTTTGTCGTTTGGGCCTGTGAACGTTCCAGTACACGTCAGGTGGATATATACACACATTTTGGGGGGGATGCATACCTAGGAATGGAACTTCTGGGCCATAGCTTGGACACTGGGACAACATGAGAAGATACAGCCAAATGGTTTTCCAAAGTATCAGCAGCAAGTTACAGTCCCATGTGCAAAGTATGTGGGCTCCAGTGGCTTGACATCTTTGCCAGTACTTAGTATTGTCAGTCTTTTTCATTTCAGCCATTCCAGTGTGTGTTAGAATGTGCATTTGAAGTAAATTTATTTAAGTAAGAAGACAAGATGTTTAAATGTAGATATATAATGACTCTAGATGGTGCATGGAAATCCTCCCTTCGCGGTTCATAGATGTTCCAAATCCTACAAAGGGTATATGTGCTTAGTCATTTTCTCTCTCTCTCTCTCTCTCTCTCTCTCTCTCTCTTTCTCTCTCTTGCCTTGTGCCCTCCCCCTTACCCTTGTTCTCAAATCTCTCTGCCTCTGGTATCCAGCCTGGGTCTGACCTGGAGAGACATACAGCATCTGACTGTGCTTACCTCCAAACGGAACCAGCTTCACGACGAGGTCCATCAATGGCGGAGGAATGGGGTTGGCCTGGAGTTTAATCACCTCTTTGGCTACGGGGTCCTTGATGCAGGCGCCATGGTGAAAATGGCTAAAGACTGGAAAACTGTGCCCGAGAGATTCCACTGTGTAGGAGGCTCCGTGCAGGACCCTGAGTAAGTGGGGGGTGGCAGTTGCATGTTGAAAACACCCCAGAGGTGGTGCTGTGGCATTGGCAACAATCTCAGATTCCCTCTCTGTCTGCTTGAGATACACTGGATTTGATTCAGGGACAACCAGCTTCCAGGCAGAGCTATAGAGCTGCACAAGCTCAGGAACCCCATGTACGTAGAACACAGTTAGGTGACTCTGAACCCGTGCTTTTAGGTGTGATCCTTTATTGTTTCACTGGCTTATACCATTATTTTTAAGTGCACAAGTCAACCAGTGTAACTGGGTCCCAGATCACTAAATAGACCATGACCATGACCAATATCTCAGAAGTCCCTTGTGTCCCCTTCCATCATGGCCTCCCCAAGAGTAACCACTATTCTTCTAACTCCATAGATTATTTGGCCTGTTTTATACTTAATATACATGAAATGAGACACTGTCTTCTCCTTTATATCTGGATTCTTTAACTCAGAATGATTCATCCATGTTTAGTGTACTTGTAGTTGGTTTATTCTCGTGGCTAAACAATGTTCTGTTATGTGACTATAACACAGTTTTCTTATTCGTTCTATTGGTGAGGCGGCGTAAGGACTTGATTTAATTCTGAGTGAGGTAGATAGCCATTTGGAGGGATTTGAGTGAGGAGTTCCCCACACAGAAACCACCAGTCTGGTCACCTGCACCTACGTCCCTTTTAACTTCCAATCACAGCAAGAGGATTGGATAATAAGGACCCCTTGTATTTAATTTCTCTCCTCGTTGATTCGTCAGTAAGATGAAAGTAGCAATTCTTATCATTATTATCTTTAATGGAGGCATTGTTTACGTACAGTGAAACGCACAGAACTTAAATGTATTATCTGGGTTTTGATGTATACATCTAGGTAGCCACCACCCGATCACGTGATGGAACATTCCATCACCCTAGAAGGATTCCTCGTTCCCCCTTCCGGTTCATCCCCACGTCCTATACACAACCATTTTCATTCCTGTCCCTATAGATTAGCTTTACCACTTCTTGGACTTTATCTAACTAGAATCACATGATAGGGATGTGTCCAGTTTCTTTGACTCACTATTATGTTGATGAGATCCACCCCAGTGCTCATGTGCAGTAGTGACTCCTTCACTCTCATTGTTGTGCAGTGTTCCATTCTGAAAACACACCTGCGATTATATCATTTAAATAGTGCTAAAACCCATCCCTCTAACCACCCACCTGGCCTCATTTCTGTCGATCATCTGAGTTTGGTCAGAGTGAGACGCTCAGAGCACATCCTCCCTCTCTTTTCACCCTCGGTCCTAGATCCTCTGCAGATTTGTAGTCAGTTACGCAGACCTAGACTCCAATCTTGATTTCACCAAACTGGTACAATACTTTTTGACCTCCCTGAACATCTCTTTTAGCAATCCTCAACCTTTGTACCTTGACCCTTTTGCCAGGACAGTGAAGTCTACGGACCCCCTCTCAGCACGATGTTTTTAGATGCACTAGATAAAATACATAGGACTACAAAGAAAGGAAGCCAATGATAAACAAAATGCTACAATTACTGTCGGTAATTGTAATGGGATATGAACATCTCTGGGCTCTTTGATGGCAGACTCTGAGGAAGTGCCGATACCACTCCAGCATGTGGAAAAGCTACATTGTCCTTACAAGTTAGTGCAAATTAATATGTAGGGGGTTCTGCCATCTAAAGTCTTATACCCCCTGAATTCCCTCCTTATTTCCCAAAGCAAAACCTCCTTCTCTCTTTCCTCACCAGGCTGCTAGGAGACCTTAATAAGACAACAGACATAATGCTGGCACATAGTAGCCACTCAGTAAATGTAGCTTTCCCATTCCCTCTCATCTGTGACTTTGGACACTCCTAGTTCACACTGTGGGAAAAGGAAAGATCATAATGTAGAATTTTAGATGCCATAATTGTCTGATTCCTATATGAATTCAAAGTTGTGACCTACACTGTCCTCCCAACATCCCAACCACTGTTGGTTGAGCCACCGTCCTCACTGTTCATTCCCTGGACCCCCAGAAAATGGCACTAAGTGGACATTGTATCGTCCATGACCAGTCCATGACCTCCTAAGCAGAGCTCCCGCCAGCACTAGGTGGAAAAGTAAAGCATCAGCCCACGTCCTTTCTCTAATAGCTTTTTTCTTAATGTTTATTTATTTTTGAGAGAGAGAGACAGGGTGCAAACAGGGGAGGAGCAGAGAGAGAGGGAATCCGAAGCGGGTTCAGGGCTCTGAGCTGTCAGCATGGAGCCTGACATGTGGCTCGAACCCACGAACCGTGAGATCATGACCTGAGCCAAAGTCGGATGCTTAACGGACTGAGCCACCCAGGTGCCCCACTAATAACTTTTTTTAAACAGAGCTGCATAAGCCCCACTTGACATGCTAGTAAAAAACAGCTGCTCCTGCAGCCTTCCTATCAGTTTTCCCAAGGCTGCCATGCACCTGAATCATTTCTGTTCATCCTTGTGCCCCTCTGCCCGGTAAGACAGGCTTCACCGTGGCCCAGACAAATTGGTCGAGTCGGTCAAGGTCACGGCGGCTGTAAGTAAGGAATTAACTTTCATTGGGCACTTACTGTGTGCCGTGTGCTTTTACATCCACCTAAGCTATCTAGCCACCCCATTGAGGGTGTGCCCTACCTCACACACCCAGGGTATGAGTATTTTGCAGGACGGACAGCAAAGTGGTCCCATGTTGTGCCTCAGAGAGAAGCACCTCCTAGGTGGCTGGGGTGAGGCCTTTGACCTACACTATTTGTACTTAATCCTGGTTAAGTCCAGGAGATACGTGCCATCACTGTTACCTCTTCACGAGGCGGGGAGGGAGGAAGAGGCAGGGAGGCGGATGCAGAAAGCACAAGAAGTGTGCTCAAGGTCACAGAGGTCTAACCGAGACTTGAAACAAAGCCCATCTGAATGTAACCCCTCGGCTTGTCTCATTATATGACACTGGCCTTAGGGAGCTCCTACTGTGCGCTCGGGCCCTACATTAGGTGATACATCAGACCACCCTGCTGGCAGCTGGGGAGTGCCATTACATGTGAGAAGAGGCTCAGAAAGGTTAAGGGCACACCAAAGAACGCCTAGCTCTTGAGCCCCAAACTGGGATTTGAACCCAGGCACTCCGATGCCAGAACTCCATCGCTTGAGGAGCCTCTCCGTGTATCTCAGCGACCCCCTGCTGGAGGAGGTGAGGCCCAGCAGATAGCAGAAGGGCCTGGGGGGCTTCCTCTAGTAAAACCTTCCTTGGGGCGGGGACTCTGAAACACCCACCTAGAGGGTGGGCCCCCTCCCCAAACTCCATAACTGCCCTCCTGGAGTCCTTGTCTCTGCCAGAGTCTACAAACAGGGTGACAGAATGGAGACCAGACTGGGAACCACTGTCCAAATGGGGAAGGGAAGGGTAGATCCAAAGGAAACATTCAACGGGCATTGACCGCTGTGCTGCCCTTGTTCGAGTTCGGAACAGTCTTTGCGTGACTCGGAAGGCCCAGAAGGCTGGTACCGTGGTGAAGCTGTTCTGTATCTGAGCGTCCAGTACAATAGCTCGTGGCTAGGGAGCGCTGGAAACGTGGCTCATGTGCCTGGGAACCAAAGTTTCCATCGGGCCCAATTTCAGTTCATTTCAGTCTCAGTGGCCTCATGTGGCAGGCGGCCTCCATCTTGGACAGCTCAGCCCCGACCCCCATCTGGTCGTTATGCCATCACAGTAAGGCTGCTAAAGAACGCACACAGAACCCGAAGTGTACATCGGATAACAACCCCACGAACGGGTGTCCAGAAGTCGAGCCTGAAGGAAAGCCGACCCAGTCTCACAGCCTGTGCCTCTCCCAGGGCCCCCTGCGCTCGGGTCCACCGCTTGCTCCCCCCACACATGGCCTGCAGGACACTCCAGCAGCCCAGACGGCTGCCTGAGGCGGTCCTGGGAGAGGGCGGGCCCAGAAGAGCTGCTCGCAGAGGCTGCGGCTTTTCTCCCACCGCCTCATTTCATCACAGGAGGCTGCAGGGGTAGTCTCATCTACAGGTGAGAGGGCAGGAGGCTCAGGAAGAGAAAGTAAATCGTTCTGGTTCACAGAACCAGCAACTCCAACGTCGGTCAAAGCCCTGGGCCTGGAACCTCCTTCCCTTGTTGCACAGAGGGAAAGGTTTGCAGAAAGGGACTTCCCAAGAGGGAGGAAGGCTTATGGTGTTTGCTCCTTTACAGCTCAGGCAGCAGCAGGTAGGGGTCGAGACGTCCCCACGGCTATGCCATGAAGGCATTATCCACAGCTAGCTCCGCCAAAATTAACAGAAAAGTGGCCGGGTTGCAGAGGAATGGTCAGCTTAGTCCGGGTACACGTTAATAGCAGGCCTTGTTTTCTGAGCGCTCTCCGGACAAGGATGGATCCCTTGTGATCCCCCAGCTCTGTGCGTTTGTGAGGCTGGAGGGGGGGGGGGGGGG